AATCTTTTCTCTACAATATAATATACATAAATGTATTATGCATAGATAAGGGCAAAGTGAGGTGTTATATGCCATACCTTTTCGTCATCATTCCATCCTCGTCTTGATTTAATGATTTCTATTGAGGTATCCTTCAAGTATTTTAAGTGCCTGCTTAGTGGCAAGAATCTAGCACCAATTTTACTGACAAATGTCAAAAGACTTGGAAAATGAGCTAAATAACAAAAATAATACCAATGATAATAATACTGTACAGCGGAAAATACAATGTATGCATTGATGCCAGTTGGTGGTCATTAATATTTGCAATTCACAGTTCTGTGAAGAAACTACCATTCTTACAATGGCAATTAAGTGATCAAAACGATCAATGTGCAAAAAACACTAATTCAGTATTAATTTTTGGCAAAATAATCCCCATCACTATTATAATATGGTAGCCTCATTCTTACAGTGAAATAATCCCTCCCAGGTAATGATAGATTCACTCAAATCATTAAATAATCCAGCGACTGCCTCTGTCAGTAAACTCCCCTCTCCTTTCAGTAAATTCACTTCAGAACCAAAAGCTACAGCAAGCATAGTCTCCAAAGTGAACTGGGCATACAAACTATAAGAAATAATATTATTAATAATTAGTGTGATATTTTAATTGTGTACTGGTGTATATCAAAGCTGTCTCCTTTTGCACATTTCTCTTCCAATATAATGTTTAGAGTGTCACACTTTCTTTCAACCAGAGGCATCATCTGTTAATAATGCAATCAGGTTAATAATGATGATACTTTTAATCTTACCAGTTTTAGCTTTTTGCTTGAGAAAGTTGGTGTCACAATTTGTCGAACGCACTTCCACTCTTCATCAAAAGCAAATAGCAAGCCAGGCCCCATGTTGATATTTTTACGTATTTCCATTGTCAAAGAAGTCTCTTTCTGTATAATAGAAATTTTAATATGTATAATGAAGGGAAAAAACAATTAATGAAAGATTACTCTAGAACCCTCACTACAGATGTTGACAATAATAATAATATTACATTATTTTAACTACTAACCAGATTATTGGTAAATTTGCCAAATTGTTTAACTGTTATCTCTTTAATGAGGTCGAGATCAGCAACTACAATATTAGGCATTGCCCCCACATAAATTCTAAGAATGTAAGAAGCACAAACAAACAAATCAATCAAGTGCATCTATAAATTGAATATTAGCATGTAGCTCCCAGCTACAAAATTAATTTGCTGAAATGTCCCTCTCCAAAATTACCAGCTAATTACGATAGAGGCTAATTGTTAACACTGAGAGGAACATTTCAGCAAATTAAACTTAATGTATTACCACGGGCCAATATGAAACCTGTCATTTTAACTTTTAAGGCCTCCATACACTAGGCAACATGATGCTAGCAACATTTGCGGTTACTTTGATCTTGTAGGAAACATGAGAAATAGAGCAGCCTTCTATTTCCGGCAACATGTTGCCTACAAGATCAAAGTAACCACAAATGTTGCTAGCAACATGTTGCCTAGTGTATGGAGGCCTTAATATGCTCAATTAATGGTACATGGCCACAAATTTGCCAAATTAAAAACCCTTCAATTACAATGAATTTAGCAAGTCACCAAAATTTCTCTGCTCTAAAATGGTACATACCCAAACACTTTATTATTGTTCTCGGAAATCAACTTGTTCATAAGACTAATTATGCCCTATTGGATGACACAATGTTTGTATGTAAATAGCCACAACATTAGGGTCACATACCAGTTTCAATATTTGTAATGCATTTCCCATGAAAGGTCTCACTGGAGGATGAGTGATACCAAGTCTCTTGAGAACTCGGTAAGGAGCATAACAGAAACTAGTAAATGACAAACAAACATAAATAATGCAAAAACTAGCAAATGACAAACAAACATAAATAATGCAAAAAACTAGTAAATGACAAACAAACATAAACAATGCAAAAACTAGTAAATGACAAACAAAAATAAATAATGCAAAAACTAGCAAATGACAAACAAACATAAATAATGTAAAAACTAATAGATGACAAACAAACATAAACAATGCAAAACTATGAACTAGTAAATGACAAGCAAACATAATTAATGCAACAATAAAGTTAACTGATCCTCACTTACCAGTACCAGCAGTAAAGTAAAAGCAGAGAAGCAACAGAAAGAAGAATGATCCACATTATCAAGAACTCGACTGATAGCTTTTCAAAGTAATAATTCAGTTGACTGTAACTAGATACCTAGACTTCAAAAAAGCATTTGATTCAGTCCCCCACAATAAGTTGCTGTACAAACTATGGAAGTTTGGATTTACTGGAGAATTATGGGAATGATTCCGTGCCTATTTGTCCTCAAGACAACAATATTAGGTAAGCATTAATAATACTTTGCCTGCATGGGTTCCTTCCTGTGCTGAGTGGTGTTCCTCAATCAGGGTAGTTTCATTGGACCAATATTTTTTCTTATATATACCCCATCTAACCTTTTCTTATTTGTAGATGATTCAAAATGCTTTAATGGGATTAAATCTGTTGCTGATTGCTCTCTATTGCAGGAGAAATTGAATGAAGCTATGAAGTGGAGTGATGAGTGGGACTTGAAATTTAACATCAAGAAAACAGCTCTAGTAAGGTTCTCTAAGAAAGGTTATGGTCCCCGATCCTTTGACTACGAAATGCAGGGAAATATCATCTCAGTCTCTCACACTACTAGAGATCTTGGTGTGCATTTCTTATCTGATGCTGGTATGTCATAGTGTCTCATCACATTTCCATCATTAATATGGCAAGAGCTTATAAGATGCTCGGTCTTTATGAGACCCTCCATATCAAATTTAAAAAATTTCTCAGGCTCCATTTTCTGGAGCATTTTGACAGTACAACCCTTGTTCTTTTTATTTTATGTGTACCTGTAACAAATGTTTGTCTTGTTCTTTACACTTATTTTTAACTATTCTTAACCAATGCTACTATTGTCACATTTCTTATAATCTTTTAGATCAAATTAATTATTGTTTGCAGCAAAAAGGAATGTTAAAAAGCAATTTCTTATGATTGTATGGGATAGGATGTAGCTCTTCTAAACTTTGATAAGTTTCAAAAATATCCCATTCTTTGGAGATTGTGTGAGGCTAAATTTTAGCTGCAATGGCACCTGCAATACAATGAATAAACACCAGCACAGTTCAATAAACCTAACCTGAGTATCAGGTGATCTTTCAAACCTATACTTCCTCAATATACTCACTAAACATGCTTTAGCCTCCATTAGTGCAAACCTCATACCAATACAACTCCTTGGTCCCCAACCAAATGGAATATGAGACAAAGGATTCCTACCCTCCTTGCCTTCTGGACTAAACCTGTGATAAAAAACTATCATACACAAGTAATACTGTATTAAGTACAAAACCTGTTGGGATTAAATACTTCAGGTTCATCCCAGTTGTCAGGTGAGCAGTGAAGATACTGAATTGGAAAAATTACAAGGGATCCTTTAGGAAAAGTAATGCCATTGATTGTACAGGTTTTATTACACTGTCTCTTTGTCCTATAGTGCATGTGCATGTAGAATAGGGAAATCCTTTTTTGGAAAATAACATTTAGAGCTCACAAAGGTGCAGGTGGGTACATGCGTAGTGCCTCCTGAATGACCCAATCAAGATAAGGAATATTCTGTGAAGCATCATACAATGAAGCATCCTAATGAATATTGATGAAAAATAGGCATTTATAGTAATATACTACTAACTTCATTTTCCTGATAGTAGTTATCAATAGCTTCACATAGCCTTTCTTGTTCATCAGGATTGAGTGACAGTAGATATGAAGAGTAGGCAAGAGCATTAGCAGTTGTTTCTTGACCAGCAACAAAAAAGTCAAGGCAGAGTCCAGCAATCTGCTGGTCAGTGAGTGCCATCTTCTTTTGACTAGAATTAGTTTTATCCTCATCATCATCAGTGGCAGAAGCATCCATTAATAACCGAAGGAAATCCTTGCACTATGAGGCCATAATTATGGGCAAAGTGAGCTATTACAATTACTGTATAGCTCCAAATCTTCGTCAGTCAAAAAATTTGTCAAAATCTTAATTTCTTTTTAAAATTAATTTTCATCAATAAAATTTTCATCATTTTTGTTATTAATCAGCATCTACCCATGTGGAACAAAATTTTGTCGGTCAATCAAGCAAAAGTACCTGACGAATTTGACAAAAATTTTGACTGACAAAAATTTGGAGCTATACAGTATTTATTATTTACTGTCTTACCTTTTCGTCATCATTCTGTTCTCGTCTTGATTTAATGATTTCTATTGAGGTATCGTTCAAGTATTTTAAGTGCCTGCTTAGTGGCAAGAATCTAGCACCAATTTTACTGACAAACGTCAACAGACTTGGAAAATGAGCTAAATAACAAAAATAATATCAATGATAATAATACTGTAGTATGCATCGATGCTATTTGGTGGTCATTAATATTCGCAATTCACAGTTCTATGAAAACCCCACCATTCAGGTCCATTCTTACATGTTCCTTTACTCCATTGCTCAATGGCAAGTGGTCAAATGGTCAATGTGCAAAAAATACCAATTCAGTATTAATTTTTGGCAAAATAATCCCCATCACTATTATAATATGGTAGCCTCATTCTTACAGTGAAATACTTCCTCCCAGGTAATGATAGATTCACTCAAATCATCAAATAATCCAGCGACTGCCTCTGTCAGTAAGCTTCCTTCTCCTTTCAGTAAATTCACTTCAGAACCGAAAGCTACAGCAAGCATAGTCTCCAAAGTGAACTGGCCGTACAAACTATAAGAAATAATATTATTAATAATTAGTGTGATATTATAATTGTGTACTGGTGTATATCAAAACTGTCTCCTTTTGCACACTTCTCTTCCAATATAATGTTTAGAGTATCACACTTCCTTTCAACCAGAGCATCATCTGTTAATAATACAATCA